TTTTAAAATATTGTATATATTATAATGCATAGTAAATTATACATATACTATATAATATAGTGTATAGTATTATATATTATATATCATGTAGTATACCATATTATATATACTATATTATATATAGAATATACTATAGAGTATATATTCTATATTATTTAGTATTATATATAATATGTAGTGCTACACTCTATAAAACACATAATCTCTAGAGTATATGTAATGCTATATGGTATGTGTTATTCGGTATATTACTATTATTTTACATTATTAAGATTTAGAAGATTTATACTTACATAAATATATAGTATATAGTATATACTATATATGGTGTATATATGTTACATAGTATATATAATGCTATGAACTAAAAATAGATATTATCAAATGTAGTTTGATGAAAACTTATCAAACTAATACAAATTGGAAGGGGAAGGGGAAGATTTGTGCTAATTTCCTCAACTTTCAGTCACAGAGAGTTAATGGTTAAGTAGATAAACTAAGAACAAAGGACTTAAGCATATTATCTAATGTTATAAATGCTGGCCAGCAAATAACGAAAGCCAGAAGCTGTTGGTTGTGGTTGACTTTGGATCACGAGCCTCATGGGTAGAGGTGGGGGTAGGAAGGGAGAGTTTTTATTTTGTATCTTTTACATTGTTTGCTTTTTCCTCTCACACATAGTTTACTTCTAATTTAAGAAATAACTACAATACATAAATAATTATACATCTATATAATAGAAAACTATGCAGCAGTTAAAAGTAGTGGAGTAGATCTATTTGTTTTGACCCAGAAAGCTATCAATCATATAACTTATATTAAACAAGCAAGTTTTTAGAACTTAAAACTTGCTTGTTTAAAAAAAGTTATGTCATGTTTATATAAGTTTATATTATATTTATAAGTTATAAATTTATATTATATCTTAAAAAGTTTAGATTATATTATAAGTTTATATTATATTTAAAACATAATATTTAATTGTGTTATAATAAACAGTAAAACCAATAAGATATAGACCCTGCCTTCAAGGAGCTCCCTGACCATATACCCCTTCTGTGTCCTCTGCCCTGGGCCATCTGGGCTACTTGGGACCTCTTTCCTTTGTAAGATGTAAGAAGTATTTCTTATTTGCTTGCTTGTCTGTTTCTTAGAGACAGGGGTCTCCCTCTGTCATCCAGGCTGGAGTACAATGGAGCAATCATAGCTCACTGCAGCCTTGACCTCCTGGCCTCAAGCAGTCTCCCTCCTCAGCCTCCTGAGTAGCTGGGACTACAGGTGTGCATCACCATGCTTGGCTAATTTTTAAACATTAATAGCTCTTTTGCAGTAGATAAGAACTATTTTGTGCATATTTCAAGTAACAACTCTAAGTTCTTGATTATAAGTGCTCAGTCCAAAGCCTGGCCTTGATGAAGCTGTGCAAGAGATGAACAGCTTTCTACACAAGTATCTGGTGGGGCGAAACAGAAAGGAGAATGAGAATTCAAGGACTAGAGGATGTCAGGGCTGAAAGACTCCTCAGAGAGCCTCTAGTCCTCCTCCCCATTCATAGAGAAGGAACATATGTGAGGCTCAGAGAGGGGCAGTGGCCAATAAAAGGTCATGTGGTTGAATTATGATGTCCAGAAAAGGCAGAACTGGGCCTGTGAACAGACAGCATCAGGAAACAGCAGACAAGCTGAAGGCTGAACTGGGAGCCTGAAACCATGTGGCCTGCAGAGAGTCCTACAGGGAGTTCGGAGGGGGCCCATTCAGGAGCTGCTCAGAAGGCAGATGGCTTGGATTTGAGGAGAGGCCTGGACAAATCAGGCCACATCATCCTTCCCAAGTGTCCATGATAGTGGGAAAGAAGCAGTTTTAATGTTGGTAGAAGGGGGCGCTTTGGGGCTGAAGGGGAGGGGCTTGCGCAGGAACTGATATTTTCTGAACATTTCTGATGCACCAGACATTGTGTGAGGTGCCTTCTTGTGCATTCTCTCATTTAATCCGCACAGAAGCCCCATGAGGTAATTATGATTACCACAATTACAGAAAGACAGCGATGGTAAGAAAACTTAAGTGTCCAGACACAGTGGCTCATGCCTGTAATCCCAGCACTTTGGGAGGCTAAGGCAAGCAGACCACTTGCACCCAGGAGTTAGAGATCAGGCTGGAGAACATGGCAAAACACCACCTCTATAAAAAAAAGAAAAATCAGCGCAGCATGGAGTTTCACGCCTGTTGTCCCTGCTACCCAGGAGGCTGAGGCAGGAGGATCACTTGAGCCTGGGAGGTGAAGGCTGTAGTGAGCTGAGACTGCCACTGTGCTCCAGCCTAGGTGACAGAGTGAGACCGTGTCTCAAAAAAAAAAAAGAAAGAAAGAAAACTTAAGTTATATAACTTGCCCCAAATCCCACAGCCAGGAAATGGCAGAGCTAGAATTGGAGTCTAGGTTGGTCTGGTTCCAAAGCCTAAGCTTCCTCAAGGGATGAGAGGGCTCCAATAACTATGTGTTCACCAGCTGAGAGGAGGAGAAATATCTCTCCTAAACAGGAACACAACAAATGCTATTCCCTTCCTGAACTATGAGTATGGAATCGGCTCCTTTACCCAATCCATGACTATCTAGGTACACTGGCTAGCTCTTGAGAACTAGGGTTTATATCTGCCCAACAGAACTTTGAAAATCCCCACCTCAGAGACTATCAGTATTTGGAGATCCCTTTCTCCCAGCTCAGAGTACCTACAGTGCCAGGCTCAGAAGAAGATGGGCTATGACCTAGCGTGAGTACAGGGAGGAGAAGATGCTGGAGTCCAGAACTCTTGACTTCCAAGTTTTCAGCCCCAAATCTGTCCTGTACCAACCTCAAAGGCATATGACTTGCTCTTGCCACTCCTCAGCACTGGCCCCCAGCCTCTTCCACTGTCTCCCTAGTCACCTCTGCTTCCATTGAGCCCTGACTTTGGGGGAGGCAGGCAGGCCCAGGAGAGTATGTATGTCAGTTAGGGTTTGTCGTTTACACGTGGAGATCATTAACGAGACTTATTTTTAAATTGTAATTGCAAAATGTAAATGCTCCCCAAACCGATGTGTAATTGCTACCCCCTCCACCCCAGCCCTTCCCCTCTGGTGCCAGCTTTGCAAGGAGAGAATTAGAAAATAAAAAGGGGGTGGATTATGTAAGCAAAACGATTTTAAAAAAGAGAGCGAGAGAGCTAAGAATTTAAGTGAGACAGCTGGCAGCTTCTCTGATTGCCACACTTCCAGCATTAGCTGCAAAAATTGTCCTTGTCGGTTGCACCCATCCAAGCAATAGTGTCAACTGTGTTTAGTCCCTAGAACAGACCATACCGTCACTCACTTAGCAAGATGGTTCAGTGGCCAGAGTGTGTGTGTGTGTGTGTGTATGTGTCTGTGTGTGTGTCTTGAGAGTGAGAGGGCAAAGATCAGGGGTGGTATCTGAGGTTGCCTGTATCCCATCCATGGAAGCCTTCCATTCTACAGGAAGACATAATGCATAGCGGGATTAGCAGTCCATCAACCCTGTTCCCCATATTCTACCATGAAGGTGATGGCAGGAACCCCTTGATTCTCCCAGGCTCAGGCTGGCCTGTTTGGACTCCCATCTGCAACCTCAGCCTGCAGAGAATTAGGACTCTAACAGAGAGTTCAGCAGGAAGAGCCTCAGTTCTATTCTCAGTCTCAGAGAAAGTCACTGAACTTGGGCAACAATACACTTCACACGGGTGCACCAGGTATAGAACTCTTGTCCTTTTTTGTACCTTCTTCCCGTCTTCTTCAAGCCCTGCACACAGCTGCTGTCTACACTGAACTCCCTGCACATAGACTTTGAATGTTTTTGAAAAGACTGTCAACTTGCCCTCGAAACAGGCATCATCCAATCCACACTCAGTGAAGACGACCTGCATAGATGACCTCCCCTCGGCTTCCACCTCCAGGAGCTACAGCTCTTCCATGCTGCCCACCCTCTGTTGTACCTGGAACACACAGTTCCCCAGACAGGAAGAAAGACAAGCTTTGCTTCCAGTGTCTTCTCAGACACGTGGTCCTCTGAATAGACTAACTAGCTGCTTGGGGAGCTGGGCAAAAGGACATCCAGCTTTGTGGTTAACTCCCCCCCCTTCCCACTCTCCAGGGAAACCAGCTTTGTGAGGAATTTGGCAATGATTTCTGCCGCCAAAATGGAGACTGATGAACTGTAAGGTCATTGTGGCCCTAAGACATCAGGGAAACTTACAAAATCCTGGGCAAGGTCCTTTGGAGTTGGGGCCCAATCTCACCATAACAGATCCAGCCCTTATCATGGCATACTGGAAAGAGAAAAGGGTTGTTTTGGATAACTAGGTTTCTAAGTCCCTGCCTATACTGATACTTATATCTGTGAGATCATGAAGTTACTTAAGGGGATTTAAACCCCAATCTGATAAGAGGATTAAATGAGTGTCTCTATTTAAAATGCTTTATACATTCAAAAGAACTGTTTCTCAGAGTTCATCAGAAACACCTGGGATGCAGTTTCCTCCATATACATCAAAAAGAATGCAGGTTCCTGAGTCCTAATCCTGACTCAGTGCATCAGAAGTTCTAGCTTTGGGACTGCATGTTTAAGACCCCTGGGTTTTTAACCCTCCTGGAACTGCTTGTTTAAGACCCCCTCACCCCCGGCCAGGTCATTCACAAGTGATAATGTTTGCTCGAGACGGTGGTACAAACGTGATCATCATCATGATGCTAAGCAGGGCCCCACCCATCGGTATCAACAACCATTTATTGTTCACGGAATATGTAGATGAAAAGAGACAGGAATAAAAGGCCCAGCCCTTGTCCTCAAGGAGTTAAGGTGATAGCATAAAGACATGAGAATAATCATACAATGATATGCTTTCTAAGGTTGTTCATGTAAGTGTCAGCTCACGTTCTGAGCTGGTTTTAGAAGAAAAGATAATCTGCCTGGGGGATTTAAATACATGCTAAGGGACAGAAGAGCATTTCTTACTGTTCGGGTGATCCCGGCGGCCTCTGAGATGGTCCTCAGGAGACTCACTCCCTTCTTCCTACTTCCAGCTGGGCCAGAATTTCTTCCTGTCCTCTAGAGCCAAAGCACCTGCAAAAAAGGTAGGGAGCCCTCAGCAGGAAGGCAAGAGGTGCAGGGGCAGCCTTGGCTCTGTTCTCCCCTCTCCAGGTTGCTCAGGGATATGCTCTGTTCTGTAATTTCCCTTGCAGCCATTTTTCCTGTATTTGCTGTTCAACTCTCTCCCAATGTGGTCTCTGAGGCCCACAGAGCCACTGTAGCCAAGCCCTGGTCACTGTTGAACACGCCCTATTGTTACCCATCTGGCTTCCTGACACCAGGTGTGCCCAAGGCCCTCCCCCGCAAGGGTGGGCAGGTGCCTGTGAGTGATTTCTGAGGTGCTGGGAGGACCACAGCTGCCATCTTGTTTTAAGGCTGTGGGCAAACTCGGAGGAAGGGGTGACAGTGATAGATTTGTCAGGCATGCGCATAAGTTGCATCCACGTGATAGCAAGCTTCAGCTGGGGTCTGGAGAGGCACTGATGCGGTGAGGGGTCCTGGGCAGCAGGGAAGAAGAGTCGGTGGGGAGTAACCCCAAAGCAGCACTTAGCAGTAAAGGACAACCTGTGGCCTCAAGGTGGCTTTGGCTGCATAACCTATTTTTATTTTTAGATTAAGGCAAATTAATTTTGTTTCTCAGTATTTGAAATGGACCATGGTGTTGGCGAATGGAAGCTGGGTGTCTGGCCGGACACTTCTCAAACCGACCCATCAATTTCTCCTTGTAAATGAGTTGCTAATTGGACTTCAGTGAGGCTGTGCTTGGAGCCAGGATGGCAGGGTCAGGGGAGCGGGGGCTGCTCTGAGGCCTGGGCTGTACTTTCAGGGCAGCATCGGGGAGCACCGCTGGCCAGGAGGGCCAGCCCTACACCAGAGGTGAATGCATCCAATGTTAAATTAGCAGTTCCTTCCTAGTTAACACCATCTTACTCTCCCTGTAAAAACACATTTGCACCTCAGTAAAGAATGTAATTAACTGGTGACGTGACAGCAGGAGGAGCTAAACAGTGGCCCAGGTTGGGAGCTGCAAGGGATAGTGGTGCAGTGGCGGGGTGATGGAAATGTAGACATTTGCCTGAACAACTAGGCTTTCTTACCTCCCTTCTGGGGTGTGTGTGTGTGTGTGTGTGTGTGTGCGTGCGTGCACCACTAGGAGGTGAGGGTAGCAGACAGACAGCATCTGAGATCCTGAGGGAGGTTTGAATTCCTGGTGGCAAGGGAGAGGAAGCCGGGTGTGCTGGGATGTGGGATGAGCTGAAGGAAGCAAGGATAGGCAGGGTGGTTTGTGAATTTCCATTAACAAAAGCTCTCTCAGTTGACAGAAAACACGTCCCTTCTTTGCACCCCAGGTTCCTCCTAAGAGGAAATAAGGGATACCAGCCATTGCCTGCCCTGGGAAGCCCCTGGAAGAGCCCAAGAGACCAAGATCAGCTCAGAGGCATCATCATGGTCCAATTACTGCTAGCTTGTTCCCGGCACCAGGCTTCTTCTCCATGTGAGCTTGGCTGTGAACTCTGTGACTGACCCTAGTTCTGTGGCCACCCCTGCAGCAAACCTGGGAGATATGCCTGATTCCTTTCTCCTCCAAGCCTCATCTCCTTTTCACTCCTCCATCACTCTCCCACGTCTCATTCCCTTCCAGTCAGGGCTGGAGATATCCTCCCTCCTTTCCATTCCCAGTGGCACAAGCTACAGAGAGCCTTTTCCTGGTCACCATAGCCCTCCTTCCCACCATCAGCCCCAGAGCGCACCCCTGCCCTGATGCTTCCAGGCAGAACTACTGGGGCGGGCATCTTCATCCACACTCTTCAAGGTCTCATCCATGCCGAGCACTGCTAACAGAGCCATGAGTGCCTCACACCTGTGACGGGCATACAGCTGTGTCACCACCTCCTCCAGAAGTTCAATGACTTTCTGCTCAGAGAAGGCCCTCCATGCACATCTGCTCATTGTGTAGAAAGCAGCTGGCCCGACTGCCTTTCTAGACTCATCGTCCACCCTGCACCAGAGGATCTCCACTCTCCATCCACTCACAATACTTGCCATTCTCCAAACCCGTCCATAACTTCCCACTCCCCTCAATGCCCGATTCTATATGTCAGTCTGATCAGATATTTCTATCTAAACCATTCTTCAGTGTTCATGCAAACATTCTGGCTGCTACCTCCACAGCCAGAAGTAATTTTTCCTCCTCTGTGCTACCCAATAACATGCTGCTTGTCATTCTCTGAAAGCTCTAGTCACATCCTGTCTCATGCTGTGGTTATCTTAGATATCTTTCATCTCCTTCCAAACTATAAGCTTCTCATGGGCAGAAGTCCTATCTTAAATCTGTATATGTTTTTTCAGTTTACAAATTACTTTCATGTGTAATATTTTCTGTGACTCTTAAAGCAACCTTTAAAAGTAGGTATTTTAATATGATGATTTTGTTACCTTTAAAAAATAACAAATGCTTCTTATGGAAAATCGATAAATAAGAGGAAAAATGTTAAGTTAGTTGCAATTCTACAATATAAAGATAAGCCACAGTTAATATTTGAAGTAAATGCTTCTTTCTCAAAAACAGTATCATCTTTTCATACTGTTCACTAAACAGCCTTTTCTATTTAACAACATATCATAAATACCTTTTCATGTAGGGGAAAATATAAGTTTAATGATTATAGCATTCCATTTATGGATATACTATAATTACTCAGACAACTTTTTAACATTTGTTGTTTAGATTAATTCCAGTTTTTGCTGTTATAAACACATAATGACTATTCTTGCAGTGGACTTTTCCTCCAGACTTAATTATTTTCTTAGGATAAGTTTCTGGATGCAGAATTGCCAAGTCCAAAGGTATTTTCCTATTAAGGATTTTTTACAAATTCCTTGCAGGAAGGTCATGCCCATTTACATCCTATCAGCAGCATATGAGAGACCCCTTTCCCTTGCCAGGTAGTTGCTCTTATTTTGTAGATGTGGAAAACGAGGCTTAGGAAAGTCAAGCACAGCTCTTGCCTAAGAAAACAGCCAGCAAGTGGCGTGTCTTCTGACTCCAGACATTTTGTTCTCCCAAGCTCTCTGCTTTTCTTTGCCCTTCTATTTCTTACCAATCCAGAGAGGGTGGTTGCAGTAGTAAGTGATAAATTCATGTTGCACTCCCCTAAGGAGAGGTAAAGGCAGTGTGCCCTGAATGGTGGGGTGGGCCATTCCTTGGAGCTTTGCTACACTTGATCTTAGCCAAAAGGCTGAGAAGTGATCCTGGGAGCTTTGCTAACATCAGCCTTTTCCAAGTGTCTGAGGCTGACTTAGCAAATGACAGATCTGTTCTTGGGTAGCTTTTTACTACTCCCTCCTGCCCTGTTCTGGGAAGGTACAAATCACTTCATTTTAGTCCCCACATATTAAGAATCTACCTTGTGCTGGGGCCTGGGCATCAAAGACAAAACACACACACTCTTTCTCTGTCTCTCTCTGTCTCTCTGTCTCTCTTTCTCTCTCTGTGTCTCTCTCTCTCTATTCCTCTCCCCCCTTCCCCCGTCTCTCCCTGTCTTCTAAGTGCTTACAGTCTAGTGGGCAAAACAGAAGGTAAAGAAATGATTGTCACCTACAACATGTGTGTGATGCTGCTTCTGACTGTCAGCTTCCGGATCTCACAATGGCCGGAGCAGGTCTCAGGGCCAGAGTCATGGCTGGGGAGGGGAGGAAGCCCTGCCTGCCTGGTGTGGGCTGCAGCCTCTGTCTCGTTCATTGCGCCATTCCTGGCACTGGGGGCCAGGGCTCTGACATCCTGCCATAGCCACTTGTTCCTTGTCTTTCTGCTCTAGCTGAGCCTCTGCTACCCCCACCCCGAGACAACACAGAGGAGCTAGAACTCCTCAGAGAGGAATTACTCCAATATTAGGGAAAGAAACTGACCCTGCTCTCCACTCAGGGATTAATAAAACACACATTTGAGAGAAGAAGGACGATCAGAGGTGACACCAGCATGTCCCCACACAGGGCATCGCTTCAGGGCTACAATATACATGGAATTCTCCTTCCCAGAACTGACAACTGCCGAGTTCCACTTGTTTCCCGACAGCCTAGCGAAAGCTACAGGACATAAATACAGCCTGTAATCTCCTTCCTGTCACTGCCAGCGATTCCGCCAAGCACAAGCGGGGCCACTCACATGATAGAGAGCCAGGATGGCAGGGAGAAGGAGACCCCCGATGGCCGCGGCCATCCTCCCAGCCCCCACCTGCCTCTTGCCCTCCACACTCAAGCTGTATGTCCATTTCTAGATCACAGGCAGAGAAACCCAACACTCTCCTTCTCATCACCATACAGAGCTCTTCCCCTCTGAAAGCTAATAAGCAGCCCAGCCGTCAGGGCCAAGCCACAGATGCAGAAAGAAAGTTGGAGAGAAATGGACGGATGAGAAGGCACAGGGCTATGTGACCCGATGGCCCAGATGGTTCAGGGAACAAGAAAGGAAGCAAAGGTTTCAGATTGAAGATACAGTCCCTTTGTCCTCACGACCTCCCACCTCCGGCACTTGAGCTCCCACAGGTCTCTCTCTGCCTATCCAAATTCATTTACTGGACCCCCTCTACGGGCTTCCCCACAGATCACCTTTGCCTGTTTTGCCAACTTGTGCTTAGGCTTTTTGCAGATGAGTTGGATAGGAGAAGACCAAGCCTCTGGAATCTCTGGCCAGAGATCCAGACCAAAGGCTTGTCCCCTGTCCACTTTGGGGAGGTTACCCCATTCTGGTGTCTATCCCGGGAGTATAAAACACCATGGTTTATGTCTCAGTTGGCCCAAGAGCCTAAAAAAGAATCTGTTCTCACTCTGGAGCCCACCGAGGGCCTCTTCTTCCATGAGTGCAATAATGAAAGTGTGGTTTGCCTATATGGACACCCCAGCAATCCCTAATAGCTGATGTTTGTGAATCCTCGGGCTTCACCTCCCTGCCGGGGGGGCGGGGGTGAGCTATGGAAGCGTGGCAGCCAGGACCAGCTTTGCCACACGTTTGTTCTGTGAGTTGGATGAAACAT